GTTGGTTGTGTACTTGAAGAAGCTGCCCGCATCAGAGGTATGTTTACTTTGTAAGTAACCCAATGTTCGGTTAACATCTCCTATTAGATCGTCGTCAACTGTTCGGGATTGCTGAACAACATTGTCCAAATCCTTTGGAGTGTACCCCAGATTCTCATATCCTCCAACTTTATTCTTCATGAACTGAACAATGTTGCGTTGTTTTATTCCTGACTGTCGCATCCCTATCGCCAGAGCCTTGTCTCCTTCACTCACATTTCGATGAGACCGAAGGAATTGAGTTTCTTCTTCATTGCAGCAACGATGTGCGTGCTTCCTCTCAAACTTAGAAACAACCCACATTTTCTTATTCCGATCAAAGCGTACAGTATACGATGCCTTGCAAGAATGTCTTGTCATCTTACGATGTTGCCGAGTCCGACCTTCTTTATCTATATGCATCTTACTTCTAGTCCCCTCTCTCGAACATACCATTGTCCTCCCAATTGCTACTCCTCGACGACTCCTCCGAAGATCTCTACGTCGAACGCTAAATCCTTTCGCTTTAGCATAGGAATCGTAAAATTTCTCTGCCTCTTCTAATGTTTGGAACTCCATGGAAGGAATTTGTTGTTCATATTCAGTAGCTTCTTCATCATCAATAAATTCTTCTTCTGCACCCTCGGTTTCATAATCATCTCCAACCACTTCATCATCGGTATTATCTGTATCATCTGAATTATCCATAGCTCCTTCTCGAGCATCATTAGGTTCCTCATCGAAGTTAACCTCATCATCATCTCTAACATCTGTATCATCTCTGTTATCCATCCTGCAACGATCGGAATACGAACTTAATGTCAAAACATACACAATTAGCTCTCGTCAGGTCGACCTGAATGAACTGTACGGTCGACCTTATTACTAAATAACAAACATGCGGTCGACCTAATCCTATAATTACGAAAGTGCGGTCGACCGGATGGTGGGAAAAATTTAACCACACAACCATTAACAAGCATATATGAGACATACCTTAGCAATGAGGTCGACCACTTATTGTTACGGTCTACCGGAATAAAAATAAACCGCCACCAACACCCGATCACAATAAGAGCGATGAGATTATAACTTCACTTCAACAAATTTTAAGATTTCGTGGTACGATTAATGTCTGAAGACTCCCATCTATTTATAGATAATTTAGACGAATTCCTTATCCAATTGGTTCAAGATATATAAAATCATAATTCGACAAGGACAAGTACACAAAATCCTAATTGTACAAGGACAGGAATCATCACGGTCGACCTCTTTGCACAAATGGTCGACCGTCTTGGGTAAATGTGAAACAGGTCGACCTCTTTACTGAAATGGTCGACCATTGATTATAAATGTGAGCACAGGTCGACCTCTTGACAAGAAAGGTCGACCGTACTTTATTAAGGCCAAACAGACGAGAATCCATACATATTTTACATGGTTTTTGACTTTGCTACGGTATCATAGGTCGACCTTAAGCTTCACGAGGTCGACCTGTGCTCTGCCTTTGGGTATGCCCGCTTTGAGTATGTGGTCGACCACTTGTTCTAGACGATTGAAATCGTAAATTCAGTCACATCCATAATTGTATAACAAATCTAATAAACGATAAACATTCAAAATCCAAAATGACACGATCTCGCAAATACAAATTAAATGTATGGTCCAAATAATGCAACATTGTAACTTAACGACTTCATTTCTTTGCTTTTTTCTTTGAACTCTGTCTCTCTTTGCCTCGTTCCATGCATTCATCTACTACATGCTTGAAAAGATTTTCTCGTGCACGGTTTTCAAAATGTGTAGCCAGATACCATAGAATCTCCTTTCGAGCCGGTAATTTGTGTTCTTCTCCTATCTGCATTATGCCATGTAAGATTTCGTTACAACTAAAAAAAGTGTAAATTATACTAGTTATTTGTTTGACGATATACTCACCACTCTATCAAGATCCTTGGATCCATAGCGCATCCACTGCATGACGTGCACACCACACTCAGTACTATTCCTTTGTCGTTGAACTGGTAGCTCATCAAACTTGAAATCTCCAAAATTTGGTACTACTACATTGCTCGTGCGCTCTGGTTTCAAAATATCATCCAAAGTGGACAACTACACACAAATAACGAATATTTTAAGCTTCTAGCTTACTACGTAACGCTTAGTAGTCAGAAAATTATAGGAAACACTTACCAATTTCTTGCATAGTTCTGATTTACGCCTACGATTCGCCTCACTAGTTGAAGGTAGACTGTCAAGCAAAAATGCAGTTTTTTGCTGGACATTGACGAGATACAGAAACCAATGACGTGCTTCATCGTCAAGAACTGGCATAAATATCTAGCAACGAAACACTCACTATATGTTATAAACAGCGAATACAAACAAATGCACTTTCCAAATTTAATGATATAGGGACATTGACTAGACTAACCTTCTGGCATGCACTGACATTCGACATAAAGTCCACGCCATCATGCATCAACTTGTTACGAATTTGTCTGGTCTTCATGTTAGCGCGTACCATTTTCTGCACCATGTTTTAGTTGAGATGAATTGACATGGTACAATATAAATAACTAGGTTATGACAAATAATTTGACATTACGGCTCTTACCAAAAACATATTTGGCAAATACCACACATTTGGCTCTTTCACATCATGTTTTTCAGACATTGTTAGTGCCTTTGCACACAAATCCACTACCTACCATCCAACAATCAAACACAAAATCATCGTAAATCGTAACATAAATAGTGCACAATTCATACGAAAGTCGTAGTAGTATAGTACTTACTGATGAGCAAACCCAGCTTTTCTCGCTAATGACCGAACTCAAATAATGTCGTTGCACGTTTTTAGTAAAAAAGTCCACAATCATCAAACTGCAAAAATCAAGATAACAGAAATGTCAATTGTTTTTTTGCAACGTACAGGTCGACCTGTACACAGTCACGGTCGACCTTATTGGACAAACGGTCGACCTTATTGGACAAACGGTCGACCACACGTACTAAAAAAAACGTCTTACTTGTCCCAATTCTTGTCCCCAACCTTCTCTTTAGTAACAACATAATACAAGTCTTCAACTGGATTTTGAAGATTTTTGGTGAAACCTTCTAGACCCTCCACTTTCATGACCTACAAATCATAGTTAAAATTAAAGTAACATATGAACACAAACACACATTATAGATGAATATGTAACGTAAACTTACCCCGTGCTTTTCGAAAGGACTCTTAGATTCATCTCCATCGCTATCATCACTAAATAATCCCTTTCTTACAAATTGATCCTTCTGTGGAGTGGTGTAGGAGTCACTTTCATATCGCGGTCTCTTGTAATTAGGAGAGGAACCCTTGCGACCATTCTTTGTTTCACTCTGTCAAACATATAAACAAAACAGATTAGCACTAATGATAGTAATACTAATATCTTCAATCACATATGAATATACTTGGATACCTTTAAAATGTGCTCTTTCAATAAATCGTCTATGCTCTGGTAGCAATTTTCAGAGTCATCATGGTCTTCCTCCTCTTTACCAAAGTCAAATTTCTTTCCTTTACCATTTCTTCCGCCATTCTCCATTCGTTCTGCACTTATATCTTTGATAGCACCTTCTAGCCTCTCAAACCCGTCATGCATCATCCCAGTCATATCTGTCAGTCGAACTGACAAATGCTCGACTTGTGTTTGACACACCACCAGCTTCTCTTGTGTGGCTTTCAACAATTTCATGATTTCACCCAAATCTTGATGCAGTTTCTCATCATGCGTCATCGTCTAAACAATTTAAAGAAAAATTAAAATCATAATTCAAGTACAAATTTCTATAATTGACCAAAAAACAAAGACGTGGTCGACCTGACAAAGTATTAGGTCGACCTGTAAGACAAATAGTGACTACCACAACTCGTCAGGTCGACCTATGTTATTCTTAGGTCGACCTATCCAGCAGGAAAATAACAATTACAAACAAATAGTAAGTTCAAAATTAAACCGAAAAAAGGATAGGTCGACCAGATATCTGGCGCGGTCGACCTTTTAAAGCACAACATAGTCATACAAACAAAGCCAAAGTCGACATTCAGGTTGAATAACCAAAAAAACATATACGGTCGACCTTGAAACTCATTAGGTCGACCGATTGGGTTACCTCGCAAGTACAGAAGGCCAAGTGTTGTGGTCTAAATTCAAATACGAAGAATTGTCTCGTCAGGTCGACCTGGTTGACGTCACGGTCGACCGAATGGAATTCTGCACCCAACAATATATCAAGTTAGCTGGTGGAAATCACGCATTAAAAAAGAAGAAGGCGAATGCTACATTAGGTCGACCTCACCTTAGACCTGGTCGACCACTTCCAACACGTACAACAGCAACCGCGAACGATCTTCTTCACAAAGGCTCTAAGTCGGAAAAAAACCTAATTCAGACTTGGTGGCGTTGAAGGGGACTCATATTCGTATTTATAGAGATTTAGGACGTGAATGGGTCGACCCAATTCGTTTCCTTGTCCAATTGTGGAACCTTTCTGGTGTTGGAATCCATATCCAATACGGATACGGTCTGAAGGCGGTCGACCTCTTCATAATGCGGTCGACCTGTTAGGTGCACAAGGGTCGGCCTATGAGATATTTGGGTCGACCTTTCATTCTGTTAGACCACCAAAGCGGTCGACCGCATTTTGTAAGAGGTCGACCGCCTTCAGGAACCCAACATACATGAATTAGTCCATTCGGTCGACCGCAAATTGGCTCCGGTCGACCGAAAAGTCCATGTCACGGTGACATGCATGTCACCATAGCAAAATCCTAAAAATTATTCTAAATATTTTATCTCATAGGTTATCATATTGAAACCAAACGGTGGAAAATATCTGTCAAATGACCCTTACGTAACTTATGCAACGGCGCCGTTCGATGAAATCCCTTTCCTACCCTTCTCTAGAAGCATTAATAACGAATTCAAGGTGTCGAAAGCAAAAAGCCAACAACCCACCGGAAATGCTCTGCCCCACGATACCTTCCTCAGTCTCTTCTGAGTCCGACCCGAAAACCCTCCTCTGCAATCGCAACCCGAATCAAACACCGAGAAATGGAGGACAAACCTGCGGGCAGTCCAGCGGCGGCGACGCCTGGTGCGGAGGCACAGCCGTCCGCGGATGCACCATCGTCACGGCGGCGAGCTGGAGGGCTGAAAAGGAAGGCCAACTCGCTGTCGACCTCCACCTCTTCCTCCTCCACTCCTTCCAAGCGGATGACCCGGGACCGAGAGAAAGCGGCGATGTCGCTCTCCCTCGCTCAAATTCACAATGGCCCGTTGACTAGGGCAGCCCGACATGGTCCCAGCACCTTCGGCTCTTCCTCCGGTGGCCGTGGGGCTGCTGGCGGCGTGAAGCTGGAGGAGAAGGAAAAGGTTGGTTTGGCGGCGGCGATGGCGGCGGCAGCGGCGGAGGAGGAGGAGCGGAACAAATTGGAGGAGTTGGGGAAGAAGATTGAGGCGGAGTTTGAAGCTGTTAGATCTCGGGATTCTAATGCTCATGTGGTACCTAATCACTGCGGTGAGTGTTTGGGATTTTGAGGTTGGTTCAGAATTTCCTTTACAAGCTACTTGCTTTCTGCTTGGGTCTATTAGAGAATATCAGTAATTTCATCTCCATTTGCTAATTCCCGTTCATTTGGAGGAGAAAGGCTACTCCATTGTAGTGAATGACTGATAGAAGGGCAAAATTCATTAATTTTTGTTTCGGTTGATGTGAATCTAGCTTACTCATTTTCTAATTTCTTGTGAACTCTTGTTATATTTTCTTATGCGAATGTGCTCTGTCGAAAACTTTTGGGGGAGACTGTTAATCTCGGTGGTTCTGAGTAATCTTAGTTCTGTGTCTTTGTTGGTTATAGGGTGGTTTTCATGGACAAAAGTTCATCCTCTTGAGGAGCGTGCATTGTCAAATTTCTTCAATGGGAAGTCTCCTGATCGAACTCCTGCCACGTACATGGAGATACGTAATTGGATTATGAAGAAGTTCCACACGAACCCAAATGAACAGATCGAGTTAAAAGATTTATCCAATCTTGAATTCGTAGACTTGGAAGCAAGGCAGGAGGTTCTAGAGTTCTTGGATTACTGGGGATTGATTAATTTCCACCCTTTCCCACAAATGCCTGATAATTCTGAAAATTCAGAGGATGCGGGAACAACGACAAGCGATTCATTACTTGAGAAGTTATTCCGGTTTGGACCTGTTCCATCATGTGCAGATGTTGCTCCCAAGCCTAGCTCCTCGACTACATCTGTGTCATCAGGATTGTTTCCAGATTCTACAATTGCAGAAGAGTTGCTTCAGCCCGAGGGACCGTCAGTTGAGTACCACTGTAATTCTTGCTCAGCTGATTGCTCTCGCAAGCGCTACCACTGTCAGAAGCAGGTGAGTAAAAATATCTTCAGAATGCTTTGGCTTACTAACTCTTCTTCTTTCTACATGGGTTTATGATTGTTACTTGTCTACTTATGCATAGAACTGTGTTAAGAATTCAGCAACTACCCGTTAATCCTGTCCTTTTATGACAGATTCCTGTATTAGAGGCTGAGAACTAGCTGTCATCATTGCTATGTCATTGAATGTCGACATAAAGCTCTTCGAGTCTTCGTTGTTGCAATAGTGACAGAACTTGCAAGTTTGAAGAATAGCATATGATATAGGATAGTAGACCCTAACTTCAATCCTCATCAAGAGTGGTAGTACCTTTATAAATTCCACCAATGGGTTTGATAGGAATTAGTTTCTTGATCTTGCCTGACTTATCTAACATGTTTAGTCACTGAGGTTTAGCGTCCACCAATTTGGTATTTATGGTTATTTTTATGTCAAAAAGCATAAGAACATTTGTGGGCGTATGGCTTTGACACTTGTATGTTTCTTCTGGGTACTAGATCCTTTGTTTATTGACAATATACTCAATTCATATTACACTACTTTATTTTTTTTCTTTCTGATTATTCATCTGTATGAACAGGCAGATTATGATTTGTGTGCTGATTGCTTTAACAATGGGAAGTTTGATCCGGACATGTCGTCCTCAGATTTTATTCTCATGGAGCCTGCGGAGGCTCATGGGCTCAGTGGAGGAAAGTGGACAGATCAAGAGACCCTGCTTCTTCTCGAGGCATTGGAAATTTATAAAGAAAACTGGAATGAGATTGCAGAGCATGTTGCAACAAAGACAAAGGCTCAGTGTATCTTACACTTTGTCCAAATGCCAATTGAGGATGCTTTTTTGGATTCTAACAATGTGGATGACACAGCGAAGGAAGTAGCTGACACAAGTGCAACAAATGAAACTGCCCCTGAAACAAGTAATGTTAAAACTGGCTCAAAAGAGGACCAGAGTCAGACTTCTCCTATGGAGACTTCAAAACCAGAAGATACCATTGAAGTGAAAGACATTTCTGAGAATGGAAGTGAAGGAAAGGAATCCGCTCCTCAAGTTGCGAAATCAGATGCTGATGAAGGGAAAGAGATTTCAGAAACTCCGAAACCAGATGCTGGCGACGGAAAAACTAGTGAAGACGATGTTGCATTGAGAGCTCTAACAGAAGCATTTGAGGCTGTTGGTTATGCATATAGTCCTGGCTTATCGTTTGCTGAAGTTGGAAATCCAGTCATGGCTATGGTGAGTTCAAAATAAATAGAAGAGAAACTGTCACTGGTTGGCTGTAAGCAAAGAACTAGTGTCTTCTATTTACATAATGTGGTAGTTTCTTGCAGCTCGTATTGTCCAAGTTGTCCCCTCGCTCAAATCCTGTGCTTTGATTATTTTATTTAATACTTAATGTACAACCTTTTGTTTATAGGCAGCATTTTTTGTCAGATTGGTTGGAGGAGATGTTGTTTCAGCTTCTGCTCGGATTTCTCTAAAATCAGTGTCAAGCAGTTCTCCCGGACTGCAGCTTGCAGCACGACATTGCTTTCTCTTGGAAGATCCACCAGATACCAGAAAAGAACAAGGAGATGGTGATTGGTAAAAGAACCTTCTTCTATTTGAAAATTTTCTTTCTTCCATTTGTGGGTTGAATTTTATGTCATAAATATGGAGTTTTGCAGTGATGTGGCTGAGAAGACTGAACAGCATGATGCTCCCATTGGAAACCAGGATGATAAGAATGAGTCAGCAAATAATGGCACTTCGGATCCAGATGTTTTGGTATCAGCAAGTGACCTGGATAATGATAAAAACAAGGTTTCTTCCACAGACAAAAACAAATCGGTAGATTCTCCAAATGATGAATCCAATGAAAAGGAAAAGACTACAGAAGTAGGTCTTGGAGTCAGTCAAGAGGGAGGTGGAGCTAATGTGTCAAAGGAAGTAAGTGTTTCGGACCAACCACTCGACACGGAGGAGGAATTGCATGAACCACAACCAATGTCAGAATCCTCTCCAGAGCCTGTGAAGAAGCAAGAATCCTCTCCAGTGACCGTGAAGGAGCAAGAAGAAGGATCTTCTGCTGTTGATCATCCTCAGGTTAAAGTGATGGGTGACAATGTGGAGATGGTGTCTGGTGCAGAGAAAGTTGAACCATCTTCTACATCACTGGCTGGTGAAGTCCTGGATCAAGCTGCTGCTGAGGTCTCAAAAGAAGTAGGAGACATTGTTTCAGATGCTATTCCCGTTGACAAGGATGATAAGCAGGAGCAAGTGAAACCGAGTTTAACAGTAGAAGATAAGGTTCATACCGAGGATATTGACATGACATCTTCTCAACCTTCTGAAGGAAAGAATGATGAGAAGCCTGAAGAGGATGATGAGAAACGAATCTCTACAAGTATAGTGGTTGAAGATGGAGCAACTGCAGGTCTCTCTCTTGCTGCTCTAACAGGCTTTCCACCTGTCTACAAGTCTTATTCAGCTTTGCATATATGTCCTTTGCAGGGGAGGCCCAGAAAGATAGTAGTACGAAGGAGAAGTCTTATTGTGAAGGGTCTAAAGATGGCTGCAAGATTGATAAGCTAAAGCGTGCTGGAGTAGCTGCACTTTCAGCAGCTGCTGTGAAGGCAAAACTTTTGGCGGATCAAGAAGAGGACCAAATCCGCCAGCTGACTGCAGCACTGATTGAAAAGCAGGTATGTCGGCTGTGGCTGCTTTAGCTGTGTTTGATAAGGGTTTAGAAAAATTTGCACCGATGAGATATGTTATTATGTTTAGTAATAAAAAAAGTATGCTATGTGATGATTGATAGTTTCTTTAATTATAAAAAATGAATGAATTTGGGGATTACTATTATGAGTGGTGAAGTTGGAGTTTGGGTTTCGCTTAGAGATGTGGTTTACAGAGTTTAAATGTGTTTGTTTCAGCTTTTAGGTTCTTTTTTCTTAAGTTACGTATTTTTAGCTGAAACAAACACAACCCATGTCACGAAGAATCTCTGTTATATTTAGTGCGGAAAGTTGACATCGTGGTGGTTCAAATATGTTACAGTTGCAGAAACTTGAAATGAAGCTGGCTTTCTTCAATGATATGGACACCGTAATTTTGAGGGTAAAGGAGCAACTGGACAGGTCAAGGCAGAGACTTTACCAAGAGCGAGCACAAATAATCGCAGCTCGCCTTGGTTATCCTGTTTCATCATCATCGTCTAAACCACCTGCCCATCCCGCTCTAGCTGCCAACAGAATTGCAATGAACTTTGCGAATGCATTTCCAAGGCCACCGATGGGATTGGCTTCTGCACAAATGACTCCGGTTTCCAGACCCATGGGTGTTGGTGGGGTGGGGAATAACGCTTCTTCTAACCCTTTTAACCCCACCGTGCCAGTAAATTCCGTTATGCCTTCTAGCCAGGATACACCACTATCTTCAGTTGAGACAAAATAGTATTCCTCGAATGCCAGGCACCCATTGCCTCTTTCGACACCAGTCGATATCGTACATCTCACCAAGTGAGTGCTTTTTTCCTGCATGCTAACTAACAGATAACAATTTCTGCTACGATTAAGCAAATTGTCATTTTTCTCTATTTCCATGCATATACACCTAGGAGATCTATAGCTTTCTCTGGAGTAGACCAGGTAACTCAAAATGATATATTGGTTGGTTTTTCTCGTTGCTGGTCTCTTGGTCATCACATTAACTGGTAATGGCTGCATGTTTAACTGCGTGTCTGAAATCCAGATTTTAGCTTTATCCTACTCAAACTCGACCAAACCAGGGGTTTCAAATGGAAAATTGTAAATAGTTGGTGCGTGGAATTGTCATATCCATTATCGCATCCTTCAATTTCTAGGATAAACTTCATCAGTCTGTGTACAGATCTTCTATCCATGTACTGTAGTGAAATGATTTCATTATATTGTCTTTCAATGTTTCTATGATTCATTTCTGTCCTTGCTGTTACCGGTGCATTGTGAATGACTAAGTTCCTTAATTCTAATGTGTCTTGATATCATATCCTCATTCCAGTTTATTACCATTAGAAGGTGCTGAAGAAAGCACCCACACAATAGTTGATCCCCAGATGCTGGCTATATCTTGAAAAGGTTGTACGCAATGCAAGCCGTTCTGGCCGGTTTCAAGATATTGATACGCGGTGAGAAGTAAGACCAATTGGCTATGCTTCTTTACCTGAGCATAAAGATGGTGGCGGTTAAGTGAACTCCCTGAGCTGCTGGCTTTCACTATCTTAGTCGAAAACGAGATGGTAGGGGTGTTTCGTGATGTGCAAGTATTGTATGTTGTAGAAATGGTATGTTAGCGTATAGTTAAATTGATGATGATGATGATTGATGACAGGAGTGGAAAATTAACAGTGCTGACTTTGCTACTGAGCTTGTTTATTACCAGACATGTAACCAACTATTAGGGGGGAGACATGTAGAGAATGGGGTAAAAATGGCATGTGTATGTTTCTGAAATTGTGAATGCCATAGATTCGCCGTCGGTGTATTTGCCCTAATTTTATTTTTCCTTTGCCAACAAGTCGACCCGAGCAAAGCGAAATCGTTTAACTTGACGTGCACGCTACAAAGAGTAATGTAGCTAGGGGTGTCCATTCAGTTCGGTTTTTCGGGTTTATCCGAAACCGACCCGATTATATACATTTTCAGGTTTCGGGTTCAGTTTTGCTTATTGATTTTTCGGGTTTCGTCTAAAAACCTCCAATGAATAAAACTCAGCCCGTATTCTTAGGCGTTCGGGTTTTCGGGTTTCGGGTAACCAGAACCCGCAAATCCTTATCGAGTTTGGGTTCGCTTTTAGTGATTTTCGGTTTCGGGTTTTCAGGTTTCGTTTCGGGTAACCGAACCCGACCCGAACCGACACCCCTAAATGTAGCACACGCTCTGCCAGTGCCATCGTCGTTCTTACCATCAAATTGCAATATTACATTTCCACAAATCATTGAAAATCTCGATGACATTTTGAGGAAACATTTCTTCTTTCTTGGTAAGAATTGACTGAGTTGAGATGTGATTTCGTCGGTCCAGCTTTAACGCATCATACAGTTTATAATACAACCTAAAAGAACAAAAAGGATCTGCCTTCAGAGAGTAATTAATTACACAAATTTCATCATCTGCTCTAATGGTGATTTTCCAGAATTTCAACTTACATTTCTCCCTCTTCTCCATTCATCAAGGCATTCTTTGCTATGACCGGGAAAGACATGCACATGCCTTCCTTTGGATGAGTCTTTTCATCTGAAACCTATAAATTAGCAAGCAGAAATGTGATCAGACAAGTACGTATATGACATAGCACATGATCAAACATTAAACGAAAAACAAGGAAACTGGGAGAAGGGACGAACGCAGAAGTTGGAAGAGGTGCATACCATTCTGCTTCACCACCATCAACGTCAAAAAAATTTCCCTTGCAAAAATACATGCGGCCATTATTGTTTCACCGCCTACGCTGTTTCTAAGGATTGAAACCAGCTGGGTCTAGGAATTCCTAGCTTCAAATGTTGAGAGATTGTCAGTGATTTTTACATAGTATACATGAAGGCCGCAATGACCAACATGATGGAAGGGGAGAACAAAGGTTCTGGAATCGTTCCTCTCTAGCAGTATCCCTAGATCTGCCAAAGCAAAGGGTTCGGTGAGTGTTAGGCCACTAGATAAATAGATCGAGGCACCCAACATGCTGATGCCAGAAAGGTTACCCAGTAGCAATTCGATCGACATAATTTCATCAATGATTCCTAAATTTGACATTACCTATGGCGTACAAGGGTTAACAAGTGCAGAACAATTTTCAAACTCGTCTGTTATTCCTTGTCCTCAAAAAGTAAACTACTGTGATATTCCCCCAACGGTATCTATGATGGCTGACAAGAATCAAGCCTTATAAGCTTTCATATGTTGCACTCCCACAATGTTGAGCTCATGCCAACTTAGAGTGACTCGAAGAGGCAAGTTAATCAATGCTAAATCATCTTTTTCCCTCAACTCTTGAGCAAACTTAGATGATAGCCAGCAGTCATTCCATTTTACAACACCAGAAAAAGTAAATGCAGTAAGATCACCACCACGTGCAACCTACGTTCACAATCCACTTTTTACTAAATACTCAACGCCTTTTCTAGTCCAATAAGTACACTACTTTGCCTCCTCAGGCTTAAATTTCAGCCCATATTCTCTAGACAAGATCACACATATATAGCCATTATCTCATATCCTGGTTTCATGGTTCTTTAGTTGTTAGTCTAATTAGAGAACAAGAAAGGTCATGTCTATACTAATAGTGTAACCCAGAAATTCAAAAGAATAACAGACCTATTTTAGTAAACCAGAAGTCTAACCAAAATCAAACATAAGCATTAAACTTGCATGAAGAATTTAAGAGATGGGTCAACCAACCTGTAAAGTCAAGATCCTATCTTCACACTGCAGTTCCTTTATCCAAAAATCAGCTGGTTGCCAAGCAGCTTATTCGCATACCTTCAAGCCCATCAATACAGAAACATGGGGAAAACCCGCTATACAGCAGAATTATGACGTCATTGAAAACAGTGTTACAAACAACCTACAAGCTGCAGGATTCAGATTCATCAAAGAACTCTTGCCCATCATTCATGCAGGCAGTAACAATTGGATCCAACGTCTGAAAACCACAACGACAAGTCGATCAATTACTCAAGCAATTGTGTCTTTCCTTTATTGAATAGTTACTTTCTTCAGCCTGTACGTCAGTGAATCAATAGATTGTTGTATTCTGCAATCATTCTGCCTAACTTCCTCAGAAGCAAGCCTCAAGCTTCGGATACCCCGACCCAAGCTAGCAATTGAATGAGCAGAAGGAAAAGATTCAGCAACACATTCAATTCCATCTCCACATAATAGCAATCCTGACAGCGTCATGACACTTCCTCCAAATGTTGCCCAAGGCAGAAAACCGACAGGTCGGACTTGTCTTTTTCTCATTATTTCATAGAAAGCCGTTCTCATGGCTGAAAAACTAGTCTTTTCTACTGATGCTATCATGCTATGGGCTACTGTTCGAATCTTCTCGGCAGACGCAGCTGACTTCATGACGGACGTTGCATTGGCACTATAGTTTGCCAACCCAGGAGCAGCAAATTTTGTTGGACCACTCTTGGTTAAAGCAAATGCCATCACCTTATTAGCTTGGGACACCATAAGCTTAAGAGAAGTTGGGAGCTTGAATGTTAAAACCTTTGATAATGTCGATAAAGTAATAACTTTAGACAGAGATGAAGCTCCCACAACTGCTGTTGCCCCAGCACCAACTGACACCACAGGTGTGCCGGAGAATGGCCATCTCTTGTCCCTCTGATTTGAAGATTCCCCATGGGTCTTACAATCCGTGATGAGCTCACCAATCAGACCTTTGATATTAGGAGGTACATGAGTGTTCCAATGTGTCCTAAGACCAGCTAAAGAACTGGCATCTACTACAGCGACTATGGTTTTATATTTCTCACTCTGGTTTTGAAGGGCATGAGCAAGGAGTGCATGCGATTTCTGTTCAACTGGGAGCTCTGAGAAATCCACACTAGTTTGAGTTGGTTGCCACAATTTTCTGATGGGTAACCGACCAGCATTGTTTAGTGCAATTCTTAATCCCTCAACAGCAACTCGGAAGGTGCTCACTTCAGATACAACTCGCATGCCCATACTTTCCCCTCTGCTGATATCATACAACATCTTTTGTGAACAGTTCAAGGCCGTACCCATTGATGGAAGATCCATGAATATGTTATGCAGGTCAACAAGTAACGGATATATAGACTGGGCAAATGGTGGCACCTGGAAAGTGTTCTCCAGCTTAATTCCACTCAACCCTGCCTCTGAGGGAGAAACACCCTTCTTCGAAGGTAATAGCTTCACCATCTTTGACTGAAATTTATCAGATAGAGAAAAGGCCGTAGAGTTAACAACAGAAGCTGGTTTCTGCGGGATCAAGCTGCTGACTAAACCCTCAAACTTGCTCACTTCCTCAACCTCTTTGGTAGCAACATCATTATTATCCCCATTAAGCGTTCTAATGCATGGGGCTTCAAGCAATAAAAATGATGAGCCAACTTCTAAGGCAGTTTGATTGGCAGCCCAAATGTGGCCATGGAACCCAACCCCAAATATTTCCTTCAAAACCAAGTTCCCAGCTAAACTTTCATACTTCTCCTTATTAATCTTATGCACGAAACACTGCTTAAGAACACCAAACAACGAAGTGGGAACCAGATTACAACCATCACCTGCCAAACGATTCTCTTCCACGAGATCTTCCAACACAGCTGAATTCCCAACCTGAGCCACCACAGCTTCGGGCCGAACCTCCCGAATAAGACACTCTACATCGACAGCCGACCGTTCAGACAAATTCTGCACAGAGAGGATGTAAATGACGGAACCTGATTTGCGATCATGGACGGCGTAAACAAATCTCTTTGTGGATTCAGGTATCGGTAGCTTGTTAACCAAAGCATCGGAAGCTCTGAGATCATCGGACTTAAGCGTCGAGAATGGCCATACGTTTTGCAGGATGCAGATGAGAGCCGGTGCCATTCGTATTAGCGTCGAGCCATCCGAAAAGTATCCCTTCGATCTTCGAGATTCGGAAAGAACCTGGAAGCGAACTCGGCAGAGGGACGACGACTGGAATTTGTGTCCGTAAATTGAAATCAAATAACTAGGGTTCCGCAGAAGTAGTTGCTGATCGGCGCCGGAGTTCCAGCATGCGATGAGATTGTTGTGCTATTAACTGCTAGTCCGAGAGAATCGCCCTTTCCCCCCTTTTTCGGCGAACAAGTAACGGAAAAGATAATTGACAACAACAAAAAAGAACGGAGAGATAAAATAAAATGGGTTATCAAAATTGTATTATGCTCCTAAATTATGTGACCTAAACAATCGTGACCTTAAACTAAAGGGTGTGATTACGGTGACATGCATGTCACGGTGACTTGCACTTTTCGGTCGACCTCAGTTAGGATTAGGTCGACCTCACATAGAATTCGGTCGACCTCATATAGGATCCGGTCGACCTCATATAGGATCCGGTCGACCTCATTTAGGATTCGGTCGATCTCATATAGGATCCGGTCGACCTAATATGTTGTTTCAGTGTAAAAACAGTTCATGGTGCCTACTTTGGATATTCATATCATACAATTGACTAGATGGAAATTGAAGACTAATGACTTGTTTTGAAGCTGGAGTGTCCCTCTACATATTGAAGTGATTGAGAGCTCGATAGGAAGTCCAGAAGACCATTTTTGAACCTCATCAAAAGGCTATGCCAAAACTGGGAAACTGCCTAGAAATGGCTAAGTCTGGAAACGTGTTTGTGAAGCCTATTTTTTAGCTCAATTCGAGAAGCATAAATGCGAGTCGAGTCCAGGAGCCTCTACCACGTTAAATTAGGTATGTTTTTATACAAATTCAAGGAATTGGATGAAAGATTGGATATCTTTAAGGCTTCAAACAAAAGGGTCGAAGTTGCTACGAAGGCTGTTTTTCTGGCAGACTTCGAGCACAAGCAAGCTGCCAGAAAAACAACCTTCGTAGCAACTTCGAGCCTTTTGTTTGAAGCCTTAAAGATATTCAATCTTTCATTCAATGCCTTGCCTTTGTATAAAAAAATACGTAATTTAACGTGGTAAAGGCCTCTGGACTTGACTCGCATCCATGCTTGTCAAATTGAGCTCCAAAGTAGGCTTGACAAACACGTTGCCAGACTTAGCCATTTTCAGGCAGTTTCCCAGTTTTGGCATAGCCTTTTGGTCAGGTTCAAAAATGGTCTTCTGGACTTTCTATTGAGCTCCCAAGTACTTTAATGTGTAGAGGGACACTTCAGCTTCAAAACAAGCCTTTAATCTCCAATTTCCATCTAGCCAATTGTAAGATATGAATCTCCAAAGTAGGCACCATGAAACTGTTTGTACACTGAAACAACTGATTAGGTCGACCTGATCCTATATGAGGTCGACCGAAAAGTGCATGTCACCGTAGCAAAGTCCTAAACTAAAACGTTTTCACTTATTGAACTTCTAGCTATTCATTTTAACTTTTGCGTCCTTTTCCCCAAAGTTCCTATGTACTCTCCGTTAGAATTTGAGTTCGTGATCTTTGCAACTAAGGCAAACAATTAAATTAAATACTTAGTCACGTAATAAGCAATTTAATTTAGGATAAAAACAAGGGTAATGTGTATTTTTTATCCAAATCTTTTTTTAAAATTTTTTTATATTATTCAAACCTATCGAAATACTAAGAATTAGCCAAATGTTAACTTCCAGTTAGCAATTTTGTTAGTAATATTGACTTGGCAACATGATATTGACTTGGATGAAACACATGAAGGTCAACATTCCAAAATTTTAGTATTTTAACTAAGAAAAGAGTTACAAAATTATTAACGATAACATAAAAATGGCTAATATTTTGATGCATTATGATAGATTTGGCTCATTAATAGAATTTTAATAGATTTGGATAATATAAATGAATTAAAAAAGATTTGGATAAAAAGTAGACATTACACTAAAAACAATATACAAACTTTGCAAAATAATCAAAAGTGACATATAGATTGAAGCTTAAATCCATACGGGATATTGCTGATCGGTCAGTAGGACCATGGATTTGGCCAAAAATCTTGAAATGCATACCAGGGGTAAGATCTCATATTTCTGGCAGTGGTAATGAACTTGCTTGGGATGGAAAGATTTTGCCTATCTGTTAAGCTTGTCTGGCAAACCATAAGAAACCCTCTCCCCCCCTTGATTGGCATAAGGTTGTTTGGGTTGAACCGTCCTAAGCACAGTCTATTATTATGGCTTGTTGTGATGAATCAGATTGTTACAAAAGACAAGCTTGTAAGTTGGGGGTTGGCTAGAGAATGCTCATGTGTTCTTTGTCTAGGTGGAGAAGAGTCTCATGATCACTTATTCTCTGACTGCCCTTACAGTAGACATGTTTTGTCTACAGTCTTGTTTCGTTTCTGCAGGCTCCCAGTCTTCACCACCTGGTCAGAACACTTGAGCTGGGAAGTACGACAATGGTCCAGCGGTACAGGGCCAAAATGTGAAGAAGGTAGGCTTAAGATGGTCTATGTGTATTAGTTATGTGTGGCGAGAATGATGTTGCAGAACCCATGATGTTGTTATTTGCTCCCCCAGTAAGCTAGTTGGCGGGATTGAAGAAGAAGTGAAATGGATACTCGCAGCCAAGCTCTGAAGTTGTGATGATGCTGTCTTTACATATTTTAGCATATAGTTACTGATTTGGTTATGTACTTGTTGTACTTGAAGAGGGGATTTGCAGTTTGCAACTCCGATGCTTAATAAATTTTTTGATTAACTATAAAAAATCTCATTATCATTATTTTATAGTCTTGGATGTCTTAGTTGCATGTCATGTGAGATTAAATTTCAATCTCATTATCATTATTTTATAGTCTTGGTCTTGGATGTCTTAGTTGCATGTCATGTGAGATTAAATTTCACCTCTTAGCTTCACCATTGATCCATGTTAAACAATCAGAAAGCCCATTCACTTGGGTTGGATCATCGTCTTCAATTTACCCAATCCATCTTAATTATCGATTCCAGTTCCACCCCTTGGCTTCACCAATCAATCTTAATTTTACCCAATCAATCTTAATTATTGATTCCAGTTCCACCCCTTAGCTTCACCACGGATCCACTCTAAACAACCAGAAAAACATTCACTTGGATTGAATCATCGTTTGCAATTTACTCAATCAAGCTTTTGTATCAAAATATTTACCCAATCAAGCTTATCGATTCCTTGTCGTGTAGGTAGAATGCAAGAAATGTAACCATATCGTATTATAACGGATTATATCAATTTAGTTTTACCAGTCATATAAGCTGATCAACCCTATCATATCTTGTCTACTTCTTCTTCAAAACCTTTCCTAAAGAATCCTTTAAACCGTATACCACGTTGACCTCTAAGGAGATCTTGGGACCTTCACACGTATTGAGAAAAAAGAGCAGAGAAGAGCATGAAGCTTCGCAATCCCAAACAGAGTTTCAAATGAAGAATTATTAGCATCTTAATGACGGAAAAAGACACAGTAATGACAATTGACAACTATAACCAGACTATACTGAGGAAAATGTAACCATGAGTGCCTAGAAAGAAATGGCCTTTTCGAACAAAGTGACAGCAGGCTTGTACACGACCAACAGAAACCCAAAATGCGAACACGATAATGTACAAATGTATCCTCCCTCTTACACATACACACCATGAAGAACGCCCAGAAGAAACACTTTTCCTTGGCAACACTTGGGACGAGACGATAGATTCCATCCAGAGTGATGAAAGCAGGCCTCTGCGAATTAGCATTCACATCCACTGGACCTAGGCTGACTGCTGCTTCCAACATCGATCGTGTCCGGCAAGTATCTTCATATCCCAGAAGGCATCAGGAGCAAAGAAACAAGGAAAATACTCAGCAGAATGATTTCTCACAGCACCAAGTATAGACAAACACAACATTTATGCAAACTAAAATCACAACTTGTTCAAAAACCAAAACTCCAGTTAAAACTGTTGGGTTGTTTGATACCAGGAAAACTCATGATCTGATCAAATTAAGGAGGTGGATCATTTTATTTCAAGAATGAAATTTGTCACTAACCAAGTTCTAGTCTAGCAAATAAATGAATCCACCAGTAAACTTGACAAAAAAGCCATCAGTAATACTTTCAAAAGAACGATTATTCAAAATTCAACTTACATTTCCTCCTCTTCCCCACTCTTCAAGGCATCCTTGGCTATGACCTGAAAAGCTTCCTCTACATTAATGCCTTCCTTGGCAGAGGTCTCAAAGTATGGGATATTTCCTTTTGATGCGCACCATGCTCGAGCCTTTTTCTCTGAAACCTGGAATTAACAAAGCAGAAATGCAAAGATGGTGAATCTATATAAGCAGGATGAAAGAACGTATCTTCAGCTGCAAGGACAAAGACTAAACAGAACAACGGAACGGAGAAGAGGAAGAAGGGGGTGGCAAGGAGAACGAGGAAAGGAAGACAGAAAGTTCAAAGATGCTTACTACTCTGCTGTTTCCACCATCAACATCAATCTTGTTTCCGAGAACAACAAATGGGAAGTTCTCGGGATCAGAAGGACTTGCCTGCAGAGGAGGGTTTCCTGGTTATTATCCAAGTTGTACATGCTCAGGCAAGTTTCAAGATACACTGTTTAAAAGATTGAAATAATACCTGGATTAGGAATTCCTCCCTCCAGTTATTAAGATTGTCGAATGATTTCATCGAATTTACATCATAGACAAGGACACAGCAATCAGCCCCACGGTAGAAGGCAACACCAAGGCTTTGGAATCTTTCCTGTCCAGCAGTATCCCAGATCTGCCAAAAGAAAGGTGTACATTGCGTGTTAGAAAATAGATAAATTCCTTGACGTACCCAACATTTTTATCGCTGAAAGGGTCAAACAATAGGGGATGCAATTTACGACACTTCAGCTTTCCTATACACAGGAACCTGAATGGATCTTAACTATGAGTTATTTTAAATTATTAGTAGTTTATTCCTTTTAACTTGAAAAGGTAAAATTATGCAATCACATTCATCCACTGCACATGAGCTTCAGAGAGTTACAGCTACGATGTTAAGCTCATACTAAGCTACTAAATGGACACAAAGAGTTAATCAATGCTAAATCTAAATAATTTCTTCCTCCTCTCATTTCATTTTACCCTGACTTTACACAATTAAAGGCTCTTTCACCTGCCCATTGCTTTGTGGGTATGGGTACTGATCACCCACATATCTACATTGCTGCCACTAAAATTTCAAAGCTTCAGAACCAAAATGAGTAATTAGATGACAGCAGTAATCATTATATCACTCAACGGCAAGGAAGTATACAAGTGAGAACAACCATCATTATTTCTTATAAAGGTTTCAAAATTCCAGGGCATTTGATCTTCACTTCGTGATCTAGTACCCTAGCTTCGCAGCTCTACAGCATTTGCTAATAATTAAGATGCAAAGGGAAGCAATTTACATGGCAAGCATAACAGCTGGGCCACAGTAGCACAACCAAACCAACCTGTAAAGTGAAGAGCCTATCTTCAAACTGCACTTCCTTGGTCAAAAAATCCGCTCCAATCGTCGCCTTGTATTGGTTGCTAAACTTCTTGTTTACATATCTAAAAGCAATCCGTCAAAGAAACAACACCACCTAACAAAACGAAGTAAATAACTCTCCATACAACAGAACCACCACTGTTTTTAGAACCGCAGGTGCTAAGAAAAACCAAGAAAAGCAGAACAAGCTGCAGGATACTGATTCATCAATGAAGTCTTGCCCACCCTGCAACCAGTAAAAAATTTGGAAATCAACCATTAACAAATTAGACAACGATAAAGATTAAAGAGTAGTCCCCAATCAACACAATTGGGAATTCCAGAATTGACTGACGGAGACCAATTGAGACAGAAAGCTGCAGTAACTAGATCAAGAAACCTAGCAAATTCAAAACCCTAAACCGAATTCCGATAGATCAAACAGCTCCATTGTTGCATCGGAATACGCCGGATCAAAATTGGAAAAATCTGGAACTCGATCCGAGAGAAATCAAAGAATCCATCAAGAGATAAATAAGCAAGCAACTGACCCGCTGTCACCGAGGATGATGACCTTCAAGAGAGTTCTTCGACGGGACGGCATGATTGAATTGGCGGGCGATCTCGATCAAATCGATCTACGTTAGGCTGAGTTTTTCGCCGCAGAAATCTGCTTAGAGTAGGGAAACGAGGAAATTTAGGGCGCGGGGCAGGGAGGTTTAGGGTATAGGGAAGTTGAGAGAGGAGTACAGATTGCTAGATGGATTGCTCTCTCGCTACTGTAACACGACTTCTATCTACTCCTAAATTGCTCCTCCTCTTCGTCTCTCGGTCTCCGGATCGCGACAAATTTCGTCGAAGTTTTTTTTCCTTTCCGACTTTCTTCCCCCTAATTTAACGCATAATATATTTTCCGATGCTTTTTTTTCAAATAATGATTGGAACCTTTTCGGGCTCGTTGATGGGCTGAGTCTGGTCTGGAAATTACCTGTAATTTACTCGTATTTTCTTTTTTCTTCTCTCTGTTTTCTGTTTCGTAGGGGTAGGATACTATGCTAACTCCTAAAGGGGTAGTCATTTTCGACACCCCTCATTTGATTGGTCCAAAGTATACTTAATTATCAGGCAACTATTAATGGCTGGAGAAAATAAATATGGATGGAGAAAAGAATAACTGGCATATTAATTATGCACGGGAAGTGGGGCAATTTAGCTGGAACCATGGATGGAAAGAGTGGCGTTTCTACTCCCTTTCCATTTGTTTCTATTTCCGCTTCCCGTCTCTGCTATTTCCCATCGCCGCCGCCGTGGAGAACCATAGCTCTGGTTCATCACTACACGGCTGGCGGGATCCATTATTTTAAAAAATGGATGATCACATCGTCCAGTTGAATGGTGGAGGTCCCTGTGTACACAAGTCTGCCGGATTGGTGGTGGGTCCGGGCAAGGTGGAGGGTTTGGTGCCGGTGGAGGTGTAGGAGGAGGAGCTGGAGCTGGAGGCGGAGGAGGGTTAGGCGGTGGGGGCGGTAGAGGTGCAGGTGGTGGTCTCGGTGGCGGACGTGGCGGAGGAGCCGGTGGTGGATTTGGCATTGGGATTGGTGTTGGTGTTGGAGTTGGCATCGGCAGTGGTGCCGGAGCTGGGAAAGGAGTTGGAGTTGGGAGTGGCTCTGGCGGAGACGGCGGCGACAGATGATTCGTTACTTGGCCGGCCGTCTGTTGATTTCTGGCAGATGTTCATATATTACCATTATCATTATCATTATCTTGGCAATGTATATTGGTTATATTCTGAATTATTTTTATCACATAGAATGGTACATGTACAAATGGACTGGTACATGTACCAGTCCAGTGATAGATGTACCAGTGGACTGATACATGTACCAGTGGAGTGATAGATGTACCACAATACTGGTACGCGTTTATAACTTTTTCCAAACAACACAAATATTAAATAACGATGTTTCAAGTTGTGATATATTTACCACAGTACTGGTACATTTACCAGTAGAGTGATAGATGTACCAGTATAGTGATCCCCTGTCAACTTCTATTTGTTGAATCCTATTTTTTTTTCGTTTTATGAACTGTGCTCCATTTTTAAAGAACTGTGGTTGAGCGAGATAAATTATATAACGTATATTGATTATATTCTGAATTATGTTTATCACATAGAATGGTACATGTACAAATGGACTGGTACATGTACCAGTCCAGTGATAGATGTACCAGTGGACTGGTACATGTACCAGTGGACTAGTACATGTACCAGTGGAGTGATAGATGTACCACGATACTGGTACGCGTTTATAACTTTTTCCAAACAACACAAATATTAAATAACGATGTTTCAAGTTGTGATATTTTTACCACAGTACTGGTACATTTACCAGTAGAGTGATAGATGTACCAGTATAGTGATCCCCTGTCAACTTCTATTTGTTGAATCCTGTTTTTTTTTTCGTTTTATGAATTGTGCTCCATTTTTAAAGAACTGTGGTTGAGCGAGATAAATTATATAACGTATATTGGTTATATTCTGAATTATGTTTATCACATAGAATGGTACATGTACAAATGGACTGGTACATGTACCAGTCCAGTGATAGATGTACCAGTGCACTGGTACATGTACCAGTGCAGTGATAGATGTACCAGAGTACTGGTACGCGTTTATAATTACCAACTGTTTTTCAAACAACACAAATATTAAACAAGACACCATAATAGGTAATTCCCATCCATAGGATCAATAAAGTTGTTTCAACACGGGTGTCCGAAATGTAAACAAAGACCAAATTATCCTTCAAATTCAAATAACCAAATAGTCCACTAGAATCATAAGCAAAAAAGAATCAGTTGGCGAAGGATGGCTGGGTCACTTGAGTAGCTGCAGGGAACAATGTTTCGTGTGCCTCAGAAGCTTTAACTGTCAACTCTTCAAGCATTAGGTTACTCTCGTCCTCGAGCATGTCTGTAACTATTTCCACAATCAAGCATTAGGCATCTCAGGACCAGTTCTCTTTGTCCTTGCCATTCCTGGTTTAATTGGAAGATAAGTCAATTCTACGAACTAACAAACGTACCAGTGTAGTGGTACTTTCAAGAACAAAAAATAAGTTGTAAATACCACTGCAGTGATAGCCCTATAAACATAAACTTTACAACTAACTACCACTTTAGTGATATTTTAACGAATCCAACGATAGACAATCATTAGCTTGTGAAGGATTTACGACTATAATGCTAGATATGATATGAGCTTGGATTGCTTCCATTCCAAGTTAGAATTGTTCGTTCAAGAAGCTAAGCTAACTCATTTGCACAATCTGAATTTTTGGCTAAGTATTATGACGAGTTCAGGTAGCCGACTTTGTGAGCTCGAACCTTCCAACTGGGTTGATAGAAATTCGAGTTTAAGGTTTGTTTTTGAAGATAAACACTTCCTCTACAAGATGGCATGGGATTCGGGTTCATACAAGATCGTTAAGGCTGTGTTTCAAGGCCTCAAAGTAGCTGTCTCAAAACTGTCAAACTGCCAGAATTTGGCTAAGTCTGGAGGCATGGTCAGGAAGGTCACTTTGGAGCTCCATTCAGGGAAGAAGGGTTCGAATCATGGAAGGATCTTTGTACCACATGAAAGTGTGTTTGTTTGTCTACAGAAGCAAGGTATTGGCTAAGGAGATGGAGACCTGGAGGCATGTGAGCGTGGGGGTCAAAGTTGCTATGGAACCTGTTTTGGAGGCTGCTTACGTGAGCTACAAGTTTTGGGTTTTATGGACGAGTTGGGATTCCTTTTCTGTTTGGGTTTGTTACCTTTAGACGTAGTAGGATTAATTAGCTTTCCTTGTTTGTTTTGTACTCGAATTAGGTTTTAGTTTGCTTATTTAAAGACCTACAAACTCCATTGTAATAGTCAGACGTTAATCAATTAAGAACTTGTTCATTGAGTTTTTAACTCGTGGATTGTCCTTGTTGCTTGGTTCAAATCGCCAACAACGAGCGAGCCTTGTATCGATTGAGTCATCACCTCAATCGTGGTCGGGTTGCTACCTTGAATTCGGTTGAGCCTCTTCCCCGCGCGTGGTGTTGAAGTTGCACTCCGAACCATCCTTCTTTTCCCCTGTTACTCTGTTTTCTGGCTTAGAAATTTGATTTCCAGGCTGTGTTCAACAAGCTTCTCGGTTTGGGGCTTATCAAGTGGTATCAGAGCCCGGTTCAACTCAGTGGCCGTGTGAAAATTCTCCCGCGGTGGCAGAGACGACGAGTTCATCGACAGAAGGCGGCGCGGGTACGACGAGGTGGACCCGATCAAAGGGCCCTGTAGAGTGCGATCCTACTGCTGTCTTGGTAGTGGGACAGAAGGTTTCGAAGAAGCAGGCGGTTGTTCTGAGTGTCCCTAACAAAGAACGGTCGCTCGCGGCAGAGTCCGTTTTGGAGAAGGAGTCCGCGCCACACGCCGATTCAGCAATGGCGGACCAAACTAATACCTTGGACCTGCTTCGAACTATGATGGCGCAGCAGAATGCCGCGTTTCAAGCTCAGTTCGATCAAATAAATCGAAAACTGACTGAATTAAGAGCAACGGTGGACGCCCCTGTTCGGCAGCAGAGGGTCGTTGTAGAACAGGACCTCGAACAGGAACTGCTTCAGGGTAATCACGAAGTTCAGCTAGCAGCTGCGGCAGCAGAGCCAAGGAATAACGTTGCTGATCTGCGAGGCGTGAAGCTACAAGTCCCATCGTTCTCGGGCGCAAACAGCGCCTCGGTGTATCTCGATTGGGAAAGAAAGATCATGCTTTTCTTTCAATGCGGCGATTACAGCGAAGCCCAGAAAGTACTTCTTGCGACGTACGAATTCACCGACTATGCCGCACAGTGGTGGGAGAAAACCCAGCTCCGCCGTCGTAGGAATTTACAACCTGAAGTCACAACTTGGACGGAGCTGAGAGGTTTACTGCGAGAACGTTTTGTTCCGGGATACTATCAACGCGATCTGTTTGAGTCTCTGCAGCAGTTACGGCAGGGTTCAAAATCCATTGACGAGTACTATCGAGAGCTTGAGCTCCTCATGATGCGTGCTGATGTCCGGGAAGATAAAGAAGCCACTATTGCACGGTTCCTTCATGGGATGAATCGCGAAATTAAACTCGAAGTTGAGCTGCGACCCTTTGTCGAGCTGGAAGAAGTTGTACACCTTGCAATTAAGGTGGAACGGCAGCAACGAGCAAGTGCGGGGAGGAGGTACTCGAAGACTAATTCAGAGCACGTTCCTTTAATGAATTCAGAACCGACCAGATTGGAAGGGCCCAAATCTACACCCCGCACTACTGTTCCGACGAATCACGAGAAGCCGGGAGGATCGACGAGCAACATACAATGCTTTAAGTGTTTCGGCAGAGGCCACAAGGCCAACCAGTGTCCAAACAAGAAGGCTCTGGTGCTACGCAATGGAGAGTACGTGACCGAAGATGAAGCAGAGGAAGATGGCAGCGAAGGGAGTGAGTCTGATCCTGAAGTTGATGAATCAATTGAAGTCGAAGTCCCTCCTATGGGAAAATTTCTCGGAGTAAATCGTCGAGCACTCACTTTGGAGTCTCTGGCCAGCGAAGAACAACGAGATAATATTTTCCACACACGTTGTACAATTGAAGGGAAGTTATTGTCCGTTGTAATTGACGGAGGTAGCTGCACAAACGTCATCAGCCTTGATGCCGTTAAGAAGCTCGGGCTAGCAACGATTAAACACTCCCAACCATACAGCCTGCATTGGTTAAATGAGTACGGGACATTGAAAGTGAACAAACAGGCGAAAGTTCACTTCAAAATCGGCGAGTACGAGGATGAATTATGGTGCGACGTAGCTCCGATGCAAGCCGCACACCTCTTGTTAGGACGCCCTTGGCAATACGATCGTGGGGTCGTTCATGATGGCCGAGGTAATTCTTACAGATTCAAGCATCGAGAGCGTAATTTCCTACTTAAACCGTTATCCCCGGCAGAGGTCCGAATTGATCAACAACAAATGATGGCGAGCCGGAGCAGAGACACCGAGGGAACCACTCAATCGCAGCGAGTTGAAGAGGGACTAACAGCTCGGAGGTTCATGCTCACTGCTTTTGGCAAAGAGAGTCTTCACTCGCTGCCAGAGCGTCGACGACTCTGTTTTGTGTCGGCCGAACAGAGGAGGAGAGAGGGGCAATGGGGTGGAGCAGCTCGCGCGACGTCGAGCTTCGCCAATGCCTCCGACGCAGTCCCCACGACCCTGGGAATCTCCTTCGAAGGCAAAAGCGACGCAAACTTCCCTCATCCGCCAGCTCAAATTCGACGTCCCACGGCCCCGGTTGCGCACAAGGAAGAAGGAAGTTTAGCTGAATGGGTTGGAATGCTCAGGCCTGATTCGACCCAAACGGACTCGGCAGAATCAATTCTCACGTCTTCGATATGCTGTAGGATTGATCAATTGGATCCGAAGGTGGCTAGCATCAAAACGCCCAATTCGGAATCAAAAATTCTGGGTTCCTTGTTTTTAAACACCAGCGTTGGCGGGAAGGGACGTGGAGCTGAGTTGCGGCCCTTGACGACGCATCAAGGACTGAGAGCTGTCCAGAAAATCGATTGGGAGTATGGGAAACCTCTTGGCAGCCACGAATTGGAATGGGAGTCCCTAGATCAAAAAGCCCCAATCTCCTTGTTCAAGAACACTGTTCTTGAATTGCAGAAAATGGAGTTTGGGATGCCATCTTTTGACCCAATTTGGACTCAGTTTTGTGCAGATTTTGAGAAGAAGAAAGAGCCAGCTTTGAGGGCAAAGCTTTTTGAAGAGGGAGAGCCTGATATGAGCTTGGATTGCTTCCATTCCAAGTTAGAATTGTTCGTTCAAGAAGCTAAGCTAACTCATTTGCACAATCTGAATTTTTGGCTAAGTATTATGACGAGTTCAGGTAGCCGACTTTGCGAGCTCGAACCTTCCAACTGGGTTGATAGAAATTCGAGTTTAAGGTTTGTTTTTGAAGATAAACACTTCCTCTACAAGATGGCATGGGATTCGGGTTCATACAAGATCGTTAAGGCTGTGTTTCAAGGCCTCAAAGTAGCTGTCTCAAAACTGTCAAACTGCCAGAATTTGGCTAAGTCTGGAGGCATGGTCAGGAAGGTCACTTTGGAGCTCCATTCAGGGAAGAAGGGTTCGAATCATGGAAGGATCTTTGTACCACATGAAAGTGTGTTTGTTTGTCTACAGAAGCAAGGTATTGGCTAAGGAGATGGAGACCTGGAGGCATGTGAGCGTGGGGGTCAAAGTTGCTATGGAACCTGTTTTGGAGGCTGCTTACGTGAGCTACAAGTTTTGGGTTTTATGGACGAGTTGGGATTCCTTTTCTGTTTGGGTTTGTTACCTTTAGACGTAGTAGGATTAATTAGCTTTCCTTGTTTGTTTTGTACTCGAATTAGGTTTTAGTTTGCTTATTTAAAGACCTACAAACTCCATTGTAATAGTCAGACGTTAATCAATTAAGAACTTGTTCATTGAGTTTTTAACTCGTGGATTGTCCTTGTTGCTTGGTTCAAATCGCCAACAACGAGCGAGCCTTGTATCGATTGAGTCATCACCTCAATCGTGGTCGGGTTGCTACCTTGAATTCGGTTGAGCCTCTTCCCCGCGCGTGGTGTTGAAGTTGCACTCCGAACCATCCTTCTTTTCCCCTGTTACTCTGTTTTCTGGCTTAGAAATTTGATTTCCAGGCTGTGTTCAACAAGCTTCTCGGTTTGGGGCTTATCAAGATATACAACTATACTTACACATCTACCACTAGAGTGATATACCACACTACCACTACAGTGATAGAACTACCACAACAGTGATAGAACTACCACTACTGTGATAGAACTACCACTGCACAAGACAATCAAAAAATTTCATGCACTGCGCAAGACAATCAGAAAACAACATGCAATGTCGTAATGAAAGAGACGACAACAATAAAAGAATTCGGAGTATACTTGCCTCAGTTTAGGATGAATTAAAGGGGAAAATCACGCCGCCGCCGCTATCGTTAAATATATAGCCTCTGTCGCAGCTATACTATCGTGGACGGGAATCGCTCAAGCGGGTTCGAAGTCGATGTAGTGGGGGGAAAGAGAGACGACTTCCGACGGGCCGACGGCTGTTTTGTGAAGGAGATGATGTTTAACGGCGGCGCCGAAGGGTTGCGAAGGGTTGCGAAGGGGTAGTGATGAGTCGGCGTCGAAGGGTTGCGGCGGGTGCTGAAGTCTATGGTTCGGGATGAAAGAGAGACGACTTCCGACGGGAGGGAGTGGGCGACCGCAGTTTGTGAAGGAGATTAGGGTCTACAGCGGCGATTTTATGAGTCGGCGGCGAAGGGTTCTTTGTGGGTTCTGGAGGCAGAGGTATAGAAGGGAAGGGGAACTGAAACGGTGAAAGTGAAAAAGGTAAGAGGGAATGAATTTTAAATTATGGGTGGGGTCGCCACTTTTACTTCTTTCTCTTTTTCTATGCAATTAATTATCAATAATTACTAACTGTAAGCAATTAATCTTAGATTAGGACTATCTACAATGGACGGCTTAGATGATGGGTGTCGAAAATGACTACCCCTTTAGGGGTAGTCAGGCTAACCGGTCCCTGTTTCGTATATATACTATATACAAGAGCATAATGTAGCGTCGTTTGGTTTTGGACTTTGGCGATAGTTAAATCGATATATTTTTATCAATACATAAATAATATACATGTATATAAGAAAAATGGTGCATTATAGTTTATATTATTTGGTTTCTGTGATAGTTATTGTAGTGTTTAAATAAATTATATTATTTTATGGGTGAAATGTCATTTGTACCCTTTGTTTTTAGTATTAAAAAGCAACACAAATAAAAAGATGGAAGACAAAAATACAACAATCTTAACTATCACTCATTTTGAGTGATATTTTGTGTCACATCAAGCGAACAATGCATGTATTGTTTGTGTCGGAAAATTTAAAAAAAATGATGCATTATGAACATTGCATACATTGTAAATATCCCAACCAAACTATCACCAAAATCAAACAATAATTTGCATTGCCATTAGTTATTTGTGTAATTTATTTTAGCTAAAATAACTCGTTTGGATCAAGTAAAATGAGCTAAACTATTTGAGCTTTGACTAATTGAAGATAATGCGCTGGCATTTTGACTACAGACCAAAAGGTAGCCTTCATCCGACAAAATATTAAGATGGGTGGCCCGATGGACTAATTGAAGATAACTTTTCCAATAAGTTATGAACATCCAATCGGAATGGTGAACCTCGAATTAAATTAGGTGATGGTGTGTAAATACTATTCTATTTCTAAGTACCTTATGGCTGGTGATTCTTGACTATATAAATATCGAGGACAAGATTGAACGAGTTAAAACGGGTATGTTGGATGTTGTATGTGTTGTGCAACAATGTTGTCGAGCAAATGTGGTTTCAATGATCTTGCACTAGGGAGCTTGTGATGGAGCTGAACCGATTTGCTATGAACGGGGTATATTTTGTGTAAAATATAGGCAAAATACAACGGTATATCCATAATTATCAGGTTTGTGACAAATATATCCACAACTATCGAAATACACGAAATATCCATTTCCGTCCACTCCGTTAACTCCGTTAGTTAACTTGATGACTGGAATGACGGTAGATGCTTAGTTGGCGTGATTCTGACCCCACTAAATGACGTGGATTAAAAGAGAAAAAAAGGCAAAATACAGTTGTATATCCACAACTATCAGATTTGTGATAAATATATCCACAACTATCGAAATACACGAAATATCCAAAAATTGGAAGATTGTGTGACAAATCTATCCACTTTCGTTTGAAACTATAATGGCGTGTCAGATGACGTTAAATTGACTAATGGAATGTTGAATCGATGCCTTCTCACCTGCCACATAAGCCAAAAAGCAACCAAACTTTACACTGTTATCTGTTAGACCTCACTGCTGTAGTCTTCTCTATTGGCGATTTGGTTGGATTCAAGCTTTTTTTTGTTTGAGATTCAAGCTTGGTATCACCATGGCGCCGACTACATGGAAGCCGTCGGAGTAAAAGGGAGGCAATGGTTGGGGATTGTGGTTGGAATCGAAATCTAGGCTTGGGGTAGTGTTATTTGGTGGAGGTGTTGATCGGAGGAGGATCAGTGGTTATCGGGCGTGTTTCTGGGTTGAATTTTTAGTCTCCCCGTATGTGGTTTTTAGGGTTTTTAAATTTTTTTCTCTTTTAATCCACGTCATTCAGTGGGGTCAGAAACACGCCAACTAAGCATCCACCGTCTATCCAATCATCAAGTTAACTGACGGAGTTAACGGAGTGGACGGAAATGGATATTTCGTGTATTTCGATAGTTGTGGATATATTTGTCACAAACCTGATAGTGGTGGATATATCTATCACAAACCTGATAGTTGTGGATATATGGCTGTATTTTGCCCTTATTCAACTAGCTTATTTGGCATCTACGTGTAAAGTTGGTTGCTTTTTGGCTTATGTGGCAGGTGAGATGGCATCGATTCAGCATTCCGTTAGTCAATTTAACACCGTCTAACACGCCGTTATAGTTTCAGACGGAAGTGGATAGATTTGTCACACAAGCTTCCGATTTTTGGATATTTCGTGTATTTTGATAGTTGTGGATATATTTGTCACAAACCTGATAATTGTGGATATACAGCTGTATTTTGCCTAAAATATAAGAGAGAAAAACATATAAATCTGATCGAAAGCTACTTGTTATTATTATTATTAATAATCTAAGAATCCAGCAATCGTGCCAAAATATGCATTTATGTGTCAATTTCTCTGCTATTTTATGATATTTCCCCCCAAAAAAAGTTGAAACCCATATGCAACTGGTGATGACTCTGCTCTGTTGTTCAAAACTCCCTATCCAAATTCAAGTAAAGAAGAAAAATGTAATCAAAGAAAATAAAGCTAATATTGTTCTAACCTAGTGCTTTTTGGACATCGCTCTTCATTGCTCGAAGCAGAAGGGTTAAGTCCCATATATTCGCTAGCCTAATCATATTCACTGCTTTGGTCCTCCAATACTGCCTTTCTAAATTTCTTCATATCTGCACTATATGAGCTCTGATCATACTCTAAGTTATCAGAAGATGCTTGTCCAAAGTATGAGCTTTGCCCTGGCTTCACTCCTCCATCACACAAGTGCTCCAATGATGCATCCCCTTCCAATGTCCGAACAATCTGTTATCCGTCACACAAACGATTCATACGAAAGCTCAACATGCTTATAACTGATACCCATCAATTGCTTACGAAAGTGTGTCCAAATAGACCAAACAGAAGTACCTGGCTCATTTTGGGGCGCTTTTTGGAAGAGTGTCTGATTGCATTAGCAGCACAAGCTACCATGTGACTCATCTCTTGAGGATTGTAATTGCCTTCGAGACGTGGATCAGCTAATTCCTGGCAGTTCCCGTCTTCCAATGCTTTCGAGCATCGAGGCCTAGCCTATTGCATGCATTAGTGGGATGCATGGATTTGTTAGCACATATATAAGAACGGGAGAAATAAATGATAATCCACGGTAGATCAAGTAATGAAAGCTGAGTTTAGGTTTGAGTGAGACTATTATATATATGATCATGTGAGTCGTACTAAATGCATGTGGTGTGCAACTTGTACTGAGAATATAGGAAGAAATTCCAAAGTCAGAAGATGCTAACCCAATCCACTAAGGATTCATCCATGTTGGATTGAAGATCTAGAGGCGGACGACCCGTAATGAGCTCAAGCAGTACAACACCAAACGAGAAGACATCGGATTTTTCGGTAAGCTTCCCGCTTGATGCATACTCTGGAGCCAGATACCTGCAGGTAATCAATTGGTTCAAAATTAAAGAAGACAACGAAGGCGAAACAATTAAAGAGAAAGACCGAACAATTCAAGTAGAGAGTTTGAAGAGAACCCAAAAAAAAAAAAGGATACCAATCTAGAAATATTCTCACCCGAAAGTCCCCATCACACGAGTTGATACATGAGTATGATTGTCCTGTGACAACTTAGCCAACCCAAAATCCGCCACCTGAAGTATTATTTACCGTAATCAATGTCATCACAGATTAACCCGATCTCTTATTACAGTGGAAACAAAGAGGAAAAGAAGAATCAAATGATAGACAACGCGATTTTAGCAGAAACAGAAATGCAGTCAATTATATTACAAACCTTAGCCTCAAAATTGTATTCGAGTAGAATATTTGCAGCTTTGATGTCTCGATGGATAATACGTGGGTGGCCTGCAAATTATTATTAATAATAATGGTTTATTTACTCTTTCTAATTGATAAATGTATTTTGTTTTCTTCTCGGTAAAGTGACTTACAGTCCTCGTGCAAGTAGGCCAGTCCCTTGGCGGATCCAATAGCGATCTTCAGACGGGTGGCCCAGTCCATCGTGGGCCGGTTCTTACCTGCCAGCCTCGACCCATATTAGCCACCACGTACGTCTGCATGCCGGTGAAATCAAAACTAAACAGATCCCGATCAGACAAATATTACCATACCGTGAAGGTGAAACTCGAGCGTGGAGTTGGGCACGAACTCGTAAACCAACAACTTCTGGTCTCTAGCAATGCTATAACCCACCAGCGTCACGAGATGGCGGTGGTGAACCCGAGTAATGATCTCAACCTCGGCCTGAAACTCCCTGTCCCCTTGCCCGCTCCCGGCTTTCAAGCTCTTCACCGCCACTTCCTTCCCGCTGGTCAGCACACCCTTGTGGACGTAACCGAACCCGCCCTGGCCGAGCAGGTTCGACTGGGCGAACCCGTCGGTCGCAGCCTGCAGCTCCTCGTAGCTGAACGTGCTGCTGTTGTGGAGCCCCAGGGACAGCCCCGGGTGCGGCGGCGGCGGGGCGGGCGGGCCCGCGGAGAAGGACGAGCTGTACTCGCCGCTCGATGACGTGGCGCCCTGCTGGCGGGTGGGTGGCGGTTGTTGCTGTGGTGTTTGGGATTGCTGCCAGCGGTTGCCGCCGCCGGTGGGCGGCGGGGACATCATGTATTGTTGTTGTCCGTGGTCCGGTCCGTGTTTCTTGTCGTTCTTGTTGCCTGCTTGCCAAGTTTGTGGTGGAGGGGAGGCGGCGTAGTACCCGGCCATCATACCTGTTGTTCCGTAATTAAGGTTTTTAATAGTACCGTACGACAATGAGATCTATGTAATATATATATGTATTGTATTAACTTGGAAAATGCGTCTATAATGAAATTTGCATGATCAATTACCCGGATTAGGCGAAGCAATGTAGTAACCGCCACCTAATCGCACAATCCAAAAGCAAACACAACGCTTTAATTAGAAGAGGTCAAGAGTAGCACGAACGAAAGCAACCAACAACCGATGTTTATACGATCTTGTTCGTTATATAATTACGAATTACAATATTACAAAAACAAGATCAGGAGGCTAACATCTTAATCAAACAAGATTTACTTAGTAATTGAACTATAAGCATGCATCTAAAAAAACTCTCTTGTCACTTCTTAAACATCTAACTTGAAAGAAATGTTAGATATAAATACTCTGTGTCTTTCTGCTTATACGACTTGTTCATTGTATGACTACGAATTACAATGTTAACGGAAAAAAATGTTCAAGATACTAAGCATTCATCTAAACAAACTCTCTATTCACCTATTAATTAAACATAACTTGGAAGAAATGTTAGACATAAACTCTCCTTTGTACTACATATATAGGTATCTTTCTGCTTATACAATCTTGTACATTATATAACTACAAAATACAATGTTACTAAAAGAACGTTCATGATACTGACTTCTTAATCAAACAAGCTAGTAGTTAGTAATTAAACTTCAAGGATTCATCTAAACAAACTCTCTAGTCGCCTAATAAAACATCTAAATTGAAATAATTAGATATAATGTCTCTAATAAATCATTGCCTAATCAAAGGCTCATAAAAATGAATGATCAATAATATGACCTAGCTAACTATATTGACATCCAAAATGCATGGATCCATTGTTTGATCATGATAATTAATCTTTCTCTAACCATAAAAAAGGTAATCAATAGTGCAATATAATTGGATGGTAATTGTAAAAGATAAAAATTAATCTACCTTTGTGAGGAGGAGGTGCGGAGGAATAGTAAGCAAGCTCATCTTTCCGCTTCCTCTTTCTACAGAAGCAAAAATACAAGACCAAGGCGATGAAAAGGATCGCCGCTACTCCCACAACGACACCAACAGCAATAGCGACCACGTTATTATTATTATTATTATTCCCTTGCGACCTTCCTCCCTTATCGCCTCCATTCTCCCGACGCGGCGGCGGGCCGAGCGGCCGCGGCCGCCGCGGCGCAGCCGCGAGGACATCGGCCGGAGGAGCAGGCGGCGACACGAACGGTTGGGCGTTGGGGTCTAGAAGTGGCGGCGGGGGTGTCCTGCCCGAAGCTGGCGATTTCGTGGGCGGTTGCTTTGTCGCCACCGGTGGAGGCGACTGCTTTGGCTTCTCTGTCGGGGGCGGTGGTGACCGCTGAGGTGGCGGAGGAGAAGCTGTCGCTGCGGGAGGTGGCGGCGATGATGCTGTCGTTGTGGGAGCAGGAGCAGCGGCAGTGGTATTCGACATCGGAGCTTTTTTTTTTTTTTTTTTTGCGACGAGTCGACGCTATTATTTTCGTATTGCGACGGTGTTGAGGTTTACATGGTGCATTATTGTTTTGTCTTCGAGAAATGGGAGCTTCTTTTTTTCGTGTGTGTGTGTGTGTTTTTACATTTTCTTCTCCTTTTCACTTACACGTACGTACACGTTTGATCAGTTTCTACTTTGAGATCCACAATCTTTGCGAAGCGAAAGAGAAGAGACTACTAATTTTCGGTCATTTGTTTTTCTACATGGTAATAGCTCCACGTAGAGGAATTTTCTCCTACAAAGCAGGAGAGAGTTGTTTGGTTGTGTTTCGACAGTTGACTAGTCTGAATGTTTCATTTATGGGTAACTACACGTAAGAAACTAATCTTGATGGGGTTGAATTTGTAGGATGGTGGGGGAATTAATTTGACTTTGGATAACTCGATAAGTAATTATAGGAGTAGACCAGGTGATAACCAATTTCTTTTGAGTTTTTACGTGTCATTCTAACTCATATTCGGACAAGAGCTTGCTGAAATACTGGGAACGCACTCAATATCTTATCATGCTAAGTATCCAGGGCTTCCGACAGTGGTGAGACGACATAAGAAGACAATTTTCAACTACCTTGTGGATAGAGTGAGAAAGAAATTTTCAGTCCTAACCAAGATGATGTTGTTTTAAACTGTCTGGATTCCTTTTGTACACCGTCTAGAGAGTTGATTAGTAAGCAGAAGTCTAGGGTATTTTTCTCAATAAACACCAAATCTAAGACTAGGAAAGTCATATGTGATAGATTAGGAATCCAAAGCACCCCTAACGTAGGACGCCACCTTGGAGTTCCCGTCCTTCATGGTCGAGTCAGCAAGCATATATACTTACATATATGTTTTAGAAAGAATTGACCAAAAGCTTTCATCGTGGAAGGCAAAGTCTCTGTCTCTTGCAGGTCGTGTTACCCTTGCGGGGCTATCCTGAATACCATTCCTAATTATGTGATGCAAACCACTTTTTTGCTTGTCTGTCTGTGAAGCGATTGATCGTAAGATAAGAGGTCTTGTGCGGGGCTCTCATGTTGGGAAAAAGAAAGTGCATCTTGTCTCTTGGGAAATAGTATGTAAGCCCAAAAAATAGGGGGCTTGGTCTTATAAGTGCGAGGGCCCTGAACATGACCTATATGATCAAACTTGTCTGGCAAATGCTTAATAATGCTTCTGATCTTTGGGTGCAGGTTCTGCAAGGGAAGTACTTTAAGCACAATGGGATCGTCCTGGAGGAGTTTTATCTCGACAATATCTCCGAGGAAGAAAGCAACTTAGATGTGGCAGAATGGGTGGACGTGACTACAGAAAGTTGGGATTGGAATCGTCTCAAGACTCTCCTCCCCAGAGAAATTCTTCCAGTTATTGTAGGTATGGAACCACCCAAGCAATGAGTTGAAGAAGACATGACGGTCTGGGGAATTGAAAGAGATGGGAGATTCCGACCAAAGTTTGCATACCAGCTGGCTGCAAATGAAATCGAGGACGAGGCTGCAGACGTTCAGTGGAAAGAGCTATGGAGATGGAAAGGACCCAGCAGAGTCAAGCATTTCCTTTGGCTGGTGTTCCATGACAAAATTCTCACCAACAAAGAAAGGCATAAGCGAAAACTGACCCTAAACTCTAGATGCAAACATTGCCCAAACGAGGAGGAGACAATAAGTCATATCCTTAGAGAGTGCAGCGAAGCTAGAAGGATTTGGAATGTGTTTCAATGCAAGCTCGACGATGCGAGCCACACAGCTACAACGAAGACGTGGCTAAGAAGAAACCTCAAGGGAAAGGAAGGGGTGGCCTTTGGTGTGATCTGTTGGCTGCTATGGAAGCAGCGTAACGAAGAAGAGATGGATGAGATCATCTACTTAGAGAGAGGACTTGTCGAAAAGATTAACGTCTGGCTCAACATTTTGGTGCATGTGAAAAAGAGAGAACATAGCTACTTCGGAGAAGCTCCACCTACCAGAACTGAAGAACAAGTTGCTTGGACACCTCCGCCTAAGGGGTAGGTACAGATACAAACAGTTAGGTTTGTCCTCTCCCCCTAAGGAAAAGCAGCTGCAGAAGGTCTTCTCCGAAACCATCTCGGACACTATCTGGGAGCTTTCAGCTGCAACTTGGGACTATGCTCAATCACAGTTGCGGAATTGAAAGGTGTCAAAGAAGGCTCAAGTTAGCATGGAACAAGGGCTTTTGACGTGTCCAGCTTAAGTTGGATTCTACCAATGCTTTAGCCATCATAAAAAACAGCTCGGATAGTACTCACAGGCATGGGCTACTGGCTTAACAGATTAGGACACTGCTCAATTCAGATTGGCAGGTTGTTATTTCCCATGTATTTAGAGAATGGAATTTTGTTGCTGACTATCTTGCCAGCAAGGGTCGTTTTATGGATTTTGGCTCACATCTCTTTGATGTAAGCGAACCAGGGCTCCAAACTTGGATCCTGTACGATACTATGGGTGTTTCCCAACACCGCTTTATTAGAAATACGAGCTAATACGCAATAGCGTTTAATCTCTCTAAAAAAAAAAAGAGTGAGAAAGAAAGTTAAGTTATGGAAAACAAAACTTATATCCTAATCAAGCAAACAGACTCTTATAAAGGCAATTGCTTCGGCGCAAATGACATATGCAATACAAGTTTTCATTATATCGATGGGGGTGATTAAGGATATATAAAGCCTATCCAATTTCCGATGGGGACAACAAAATGGGAAAAGACGAACTCACATGTTAAGCTAGAAGGAACTCTATAGAACAAAGATAAGGGTGGAATGGGATTTCGTAACTTACATGAGTTTAATATTAATATGCTTTGGAAACATGTGTGGAATCTTATTCAAAATTCTCAATCCCTAGTGGCTAGGGTTTTCAAAGTAAAGTATTGTCCCACGAGGGATATATTTGAGGCAGAAGGAGGTCACAACCCAACTTACCTGTGGAGAAACTTGCTTGCAGCTGAGGAAATAGTTTAAAATGGAATAAGGTGGAAGGTTGTCAACATAAATGAGATTTTGGTTGAAAAAAGGGTATACTTGTTGCTGATAATTTCAAAGTTCAATAGCCTACTACCCAGTTGGGTTCAACGACGTAAGTCAATGAGCTTTTGGATGTCTCTACCAGACCTTAGAATATAGCTCTCCACAAACTCCCTCTGGATAGATGGAGAATCATGCAAATTCCTATCCCATAACAACTATGTGAAGACACAAGAATTTGGAGTTATGAAAAAACGGGCAATTACTCAGTGAAATTTGTTTTATCATCGATGGAGATAGAGGAAGAAAAAGGATATTGGTGAATTATACACACCCATTGATTGGAAGCAAAATTGGGGTCTACAAATCGCTCATAGGTGAAGGTTTTTGCCAGGAAGTCGATTCGAAATGTCCTACATACAAGAGCCAATATTGTTAATCGGGTACGAAAAGGGTGATGAATGCCCTTTATTTGGCCTACAAGAGACTGAGATTCATATTTTATTCTACTATGGATGGACTAAATGGATTTGTTGACCGAGTTCTTTCTAATAAGTTTTTGAGAAAGGGGAAGAGTATACCCGTGAAGAATGGATGGTTTTGCTATAGGAGTCATCATCGAATGAACAAACCGGATTGTTTTTAATGTCTCTCTGGTTCATTTGGGTGGAAAAGGAATTATCAGCTATGAAACAAAAACAAGAGAGAAGAGTGGGAAGTCATGGACAGAGCAGAGAAATGGTTACAGGAATAGCTGTAATGGAACATCAACAAATGATCTCGATGCATGTAATGAAGCAACAATACCGTTGGAAGCAATTGGAGACTATGGATTTCAAAACTAATGTTAATGCAACTTGTTTTGAAGGACAGAGAACTGGGTTTGGTGTTGTAGTGAGGGATAAGGCCAATCAATATTTCATGGCAGCAGTGAGGCGTACCATGGTTCAATGGGCACTGCTCTTAGCAGAGATTTATGTGATCTGGTTTGGGTTGAAGACGACGGAGGAGTTTGGCTTCCGGTTGGTGGAGGTGGAGTCCGATAGCCAAATGGAAATTCAATATATGCTAAGGGAGGAAATGACAAAGACGATGGCATACAATGTTTGTGCTTGGCTCTAGGATTTCGCTAAGGGCTTAAGCTCTTTATTTTTTATTGATCGGGTTAGGTTAGTAATGAAGCAACCTACCTAATGGCTCATCCCTCTTGTCATTGGGACCAACAAGAAATTTGGGTTTCTATCAATAAAGCAACTTGTTGAAGATCGGTGGCTCACTGACAATCCCGAAATAAACAAAAAAAAAAACATTTTGGGATGCTCTCTCCTCTCTCCTCATGAAGCTTGGCGAAATCTTCGTTCTAACCCTCTCCGTTAGGGTTTCGATGGTAGAAACCACAGAGAGTACGACATGAAGGAGATGGTCGTGGAAGGCTGATTGAGTTACTTCAAGCCAAATCAAGGACTAGTTTGAGTCCTGGTCGAGGCGGATCCTCATGGGGGGATATGATAGATGGATTGCTGAGGAAAAATGGCCCTGTGGATTGGTTTTATCCAATGAAAAAGTTAAGGAATTTGGTGGGATAATCTCGAATTGAGAGTCCCTATTGGATTTGAATTGGCAGATAGCGTTCGACGGGATCTATGTAGAGATTGAACCGGGCAAGGCAACGTCCACAGAATTTCCAGTCAATTTAGCCGAGGGAAAAGCAATGGAAAATAGTGGGATAATCTCAAAACGAGAGTCCCAATTGTATTTGAAGTGGCGGATAGCATTGGACGAGATCTATTTAGAGATTGAACTGTGCAAGGCAACGTCTATAGAGTTTCCAATCAAACAAGGGTGGAAGTTAGAGCGAAAAGAAGAGCTTCTTGATTCTCAGTCCCAGGAGAAAATTACTAGGTATTGCAACCCGTATTTGGGTCAGTTCAATTATCCTTGTGTGTCATTAACTGGGTGTTCTAGTGACTTTTCAAGATGGAGGTTGACAATAAAGCAATGGCTGTTGAACTGGTGGTGGAATTCGCTATTGAGGACATTGAATCAGGAATGAAATGGGCTCATTTAAGTTTGT